TGCCGACTTCCTCGACAACGCCCGTTATCTCATCAGTGAGGCCTATTGCCGAACGCACCAGAAAATCGACATCCGCGACCTCTCTCAGCGGCTCAATCTGTCTCCCGACGAGGGTGAAAAATGGATCGTCAACCTAATCCGCGAGTCGCGGATGGGAGCTGACGCCAAGATTGATTTGGATAAAGTGAGCCATTGACAACCTTTTCGTCCTCGAGTGTTCACCCGCGCTTTAAGAACGTCATTGAAATCTTCAGGCCTGCTGCACCAGTGTACCAGGCTGTCATTGACAAAACACGCGGTCTGCATCTCCGGACCTCTGGCCTCGGAACCGCGATTTCGCGCATGGGTGCTGGGGCACCCGCGGGTCCAACCGACGCGACGACGATAGCTGTTCGCTAAAGTCATAGACCAAAAGTATATTGGGTTTATACTTCTATGTACTGTGACTACGTTTGTTCGGTAATGACGAGTTTTTTCCGTTCTGCTTTGGGCTTGCTCTCGCCCTCGCGCGTATGTTTCCGCCTCCGTTCGTCCTTGACGCGTTGGGCGTCCAACATGGTCCGCTTGAGCTTCGACGCCTGGTGTACAGGCTTGGGCACATGTCGATTGCGCACCACCCGTCCAACTTGCTTGTCCGCCTTCCATCGCTCCTTGAGCGCGTCCCGGTATTCGATAGCGGCACGCTCCCGACCAGTGATGATCCCGAGGCGCTCAGACGCTTTTGCTTTCCACACACGCACATTTCCATCGTCCGAACCCGACAACACAAATCGTGCGTCCAGCGTAAATAGAGCAGAGGACACCCTAGAAACCGACGTCAGTGCCTGTGTTAAGAACAAAGGCAGGCTGTTACCGTTGCATTCGCTTCGTGTGGTACACCTCCGAGCCGTGCCCTTGTCCCTCCTTCCAGATACGCACAGTCCGATCCCAGCCACCGCTCACAAACTCCAGCCCTGTGGGTGCCCAGTCACATGCCATGACCGCAGCGACATGTCCCTTGTAGATTTGTGTCGGTTTGGCCAGATTTCGAATGTCGAATGTGTAGAGGTTATGGTCTTCCGAAGCTAGTAGGACGGCAGTTGGCATTGTGGGTGACCACGATAGATCGTTGCTGCTCATGTTCATGACCACTCGCCGCTCGGCTTTCCCCGTTCGAATGTCGTAGAGAGTGAACGTGCGGTCAGAGCCAACGCTAGCTAATACTGCTGTCTCAGAAAGGTTGAACCGTACGGAGGTGACGGTTTCGGTTGACGTAGGGAAGGTCAGGTTCGATATTGGCAGACTCCTTCGCGCCGTATGAGTACCGTTAGAGTTGCATGAAGAGCGACGCACTTGGTTTCATCCCATAGTTGTACTAGGTTGGATGCAGTCGCGAATTGGGCGTCAGAGTAGTGGTGGTCGATAGAGCTATAAGAAGGTCAGAAAAAAAGCGAAATCGGGCAACGTCATACTTGAGCGGCGCCTTGCCAGTGAAAACTGATATTGGCTTCGAGTCTGTGCTCTGCATACTCCAGAGTTTGATAGTGCAGTCGGTGCTGCAGCTAAATAATCGACCGTCTCGCGAAAAACACAGTCCCGACACTTTCTTGTTCTTTTTATGTGCTTGTGGGAGGTGTAGCAGTTGAGTCCGCCGCGCGAGATGGTGTACAACAATACCTAGAACGTTCTATACGCAAGAAACTTTGAAGCAGTTGCGCAGACGTACCGCCATCCCAACTTCCGCTCGCAACTGTGGTCAGCTCGCCTGGTTGTTTCGCCATTGCTTCCACGGGACCGACGTGGCCTTCGAGGCTTGCAATGAATGGTTTCGCAAACATTCGGTCCATTTTTGCAGCGTTCAGTGCTCGCGTGCGTTCGCGAGCCCGAGCAAAAGGGTGCATTAAGGGATCGAGGTTTCTGGACATCGGGGTCGGGTCTCCGGGGCGTTGCGGAAGATGGGTGGCCAGGTCATGCTGCAGAACCCGTATTTTCTGCGGGCTATATGAAGAGCTGCGAGTGACTGAGATTGAACAACACACCATCGTCGGTCAAAGCGAGCGATAATTTGTCACGCATCAGTGTGACATCGGTTCTTTTAGACGAAGAAAAAGTACAGTAGTATGAGCATCTATGGATGACAATATGTGCGATGTACCAGAAATCTAATCGATATCCATCTCAGACGGCCCAGGGGCTTCCTCGGGCTTTGGGCTCTCCGCAGCAGCAGGATCCGGCGTGTCCTTGCCGCTCTTGGGCGTCTGGGTGCCCGGAGTGCCGCCAGGAATAACAGGTGGCTTCGGCTTGGGCCTGGTCAGAATCGGAGTCGCAAAGTAAATGACCTCGTCCCTCTTCTTCTCGATATCCGCGCCTTTGAGTACTGCGTCGACGTTCTTGGGGCTTTCCGCCTGTCGCACAATCTGATCCTCGAGCCACTTCTGGACCGTCGCAACCTTCTCAATGACGCTCTGCTTGTCTTTCTCGTCGATATGAGCGTATTTTTCCTCTCCTGATGTTGCCTGCGCCATGTACGAGTTAAGTGTGTCCCGTAGCTGGGCAACCGCGCCTTGCCGGGACTCTGACTCGCGGTATCGGTTCGTGATGGGGTCTCCGAGGACTTTGAGTGCGTCGAGGCGAGTGACATAGGCGGACTTGGTCGCCTCTTCGCCCTCTTCGGTGTACAGCCAGTCCTCAGCTACCTGCAGTGCCGCAAGCAACTTCGTCTTCTCCTCCGCTTGCACAAAGGACACGTAACGATCGTCCAGCTTGCCACGCATGTCGTAGACGTATTCCTCGAGGGCGTTCTTGCGGTCCTACAGATTTGGTGAGTATTTTGATATCGAAACAAAAACGCATTCAGATACCTCGGTGTCCATAACTAATTTGTCTGCTGCGTGCATAGCGTTTTCCGCCTCTCGCCACGCTTCGACGATGGACTTGTCCAGAGAAGTGGAGGCCACCACAAAGGGCACTTCTTTCTTCTTGACACGCCGTTTCTTTGGAGCTGGCACTGCAGCCTCGTCACCGACCGCATCGACATCCATGGGAGCAGCCTCTTCCTCGATGGTCTCCTCTGCGTATGCGGACTCGAAGGAGACAATACCATGTAGGTTGACCCTCGTCTTGACGCGGACGCAGGTCGAGTCGCCATTCGCCTCGGCTGGGACATCCTTGACGGTGATGCGACCGATCCATGGGTTGACGGCGCCGGGGAGACCAGCAGGATCGGCATATACAGCCTCGATGTCGAAAGGCTCACGGCGATAGAAAGTGAGAACCTTTGTCGAGGGGAGTTTGTCGCCCTGCTGGAACACGGTCAACTCCGTGTCCTCTTCGGGGTCACTGGGCGAAGCGACCCATTGGACTTTGACCGGGTAGTGGTTGATATCTTGTATGTGGAAGTCGCGTACTCGAAAGACGGGGGAGAGCATGGCACAACAGAAAGTGGCGCCTCGGGCAATGGCCTCGTCCTGGTTGAGGGTGGTTGAGAGAACCTTTCCGGGGAAAACTTCTTGGATCCGCGCGCGGACAGCAGGAACGCGAGTAGAGCCGCCGATAAGCTCGATGGCGTCGATTTGGTCAAGGGAGATGCCGGAATCAGCAAGAGCGCGTTGAAGAGGAGCTCTGATGCGGTCAAGAACTGGTGCAACCAGCTCTTCGAGATATTCGCGAGACAGCTTGGATGCGGCGTCGACGTCGTTCACAATGGACTCGACGTTGATGGGCGCATCTGCGTTGGCAGACAACACCTTTTTCAGCTTCTCGCAACCCGCAGCTAGACGGAAGGTCGCTTTGGGGTTCGACTTGACATCGATCTTGTATTTCTCCTTGAACTCGTTTGAGAAGTGATTGACCAACGCGTAGTCGATGTCGCGACCTCCGAGATTGCGCTCGTACGCTGTGCTTTTAACGACGAGTTGGCCCTTGGAGAAAGCAACAACGGCGGCGGAAAGACTCGCATGACCCACGTCGACAAAGACGACGTGACGAGGTTCGTCTGCCTGCTCAGGCAAATCGGATTTGGTGATACCGTAGCCAAGTGCGACCGCGGTCGTGTCGTTGACGAGCCGTAGGACGTTAAGTCCAGCAATCGCCGCCGCATCCAGCAACGCTCGCCGCTGAACTTCGGTGTACCAACCGGGAACAGCGATTACAACGTCCGTCATGCCGGCTTTCAGCTCGGCCGTCGTAGTGTCCCGTAGTTTCCCCAGATACATCGCGACGAGTTGAGTCGCGGAGAAGCTTTGTCGCTCCCCAACATAGTTGACCTAGGGGAATTGTAAACTGACGATGAAAAGACCATGCTAGCACATACCTCGACACCGACGCTGCCCTGCACATCAACGAGGGTCGCGTTTAAAAACTTTTTCTCGACTTCTTGGATCTCTGGGTCATTGACAGTGCGACCGATGAGCCGCTTCAGAGAGCCAACGGTGTTCTTGAAATTGGAGGTTTCTTGAGTCTTTGCTGACTCGCCAATCGAGCGCTGCTTCGGTCCAAAAGCAACAAGGGACCTGGGGTGCGCGGGTAAGCTGTGAAGGTTCGGTGAGGAATGGGCACGCACGGTGTAGCACGATTGGAGACCTCGTTGGCGATGATATCGATACCGCGATGCCTCGCGACACCAATCTAGGGAGGCTTGAGGACGACAGACAAGCATGCAGTAGCGAGCGCGTACCTTTGAATGGAGCGTTCCAAAGTCGAAGCCGACGACAGCCATTTATTTGGCGCGATCTGCAACGGACGTGAGGACTACCGCAAACTAGGCGAGGAAGAAAACGAACGGTCGAAGTGAGCAAGTAAATCGATGTGGTGGTGAAATTCAGACGGTCAAGAAATTTTGACAGCACCGCCGCGTCCCGATATAGTCTCCCATCATTCGACTACATTCTGGGAGGTTCCATGGCCATCCACAACGGCCTAGCAGTAGATGAATCCGCTTGAATAGACATCGTAGAGTAAGTACATACGAGGAGCACATAAAAACTGCCTATAATAATGAGCAAAAACCTTCGAACAAAAAGCTCTCGACCTGGGAGTCGAACCCAGCTTTCGCGCGGAATCTACGAAAATGACAGGCGCGTGTACTAACCGATATACTAGTCGAGATTGAGAAGCAGTGACCTCTAACGCTATCCGAGAGGAGGCCATGGTCTGCTCATCGAGGCCTCATATCGAGGCCTCATCCTTCTCGTCCTGCCACCATCCTCTCTCACTCGACCCCACTTTCGCTTCTTGGGCGGCCGAACGCATTTTCGTCCTCCCAATGTCGCCTCATCGTTTTAGCCCTACCGCAGATGACCAACTCCTGGCGTCAACGATACTTGCGTCATGCATTACATGCAACTCAGAATAAAAGGCCGTCGCGCTCCTCTGCCATGAACTCTTCTCTTCTCCTCAGCAATAATGCCGTCTAAACAAGTATTCTCTTCTGGCGCCGAATCTGCGCGCTACACCACCAGCAACGGCGCTCCGGTTGTGGAGCCCTATGCTGCCCAAAGAGTCGGGATGAACGGGCCTCTGTTGCTTCAAGATTTCCACCACATCGATTTGCTCGCTCACTTCGACCGTTCGTTTTTCGTCCCGCTTTGTCGTTCTCGCCGTAGTGCTGACATCTGTTGCAGGCGAGCGCATTCCCGAGCGTGTTGTTCATGCCAAGGGTGCCGGTGCTCACGGTTATCTCGAGATAACCGAGGACCTCAGCGATATCACCGACAACCCGTTTCTGTCCACCAAGGGCAAGAAGGCTCGGGCTACCGTGCGCTTCTCCACCGTAGGCGGGGAGTCTGGCTCTGCCGATACAGCTCGCGATCCTCGTGGTTTTGCCATTAAATTGCGGACAGAAGAAGGCAACCTCGACTGGGTAAACAACAACACCCCCGTCTTCTTTATTCGAGATCCAGCAAAGGTGAGCTCGTAATCGTCTCGTAAACAGACATTTGACCCAAACCACCCCGAAGTTCCCTCATTTTATCCACACACAGGTGACTAGTTGTTCATGTTGTGGACCACGCGAGTATAATATATCCCCCCCCAGAAACGCGATCCTCAAACTCATTTGAAGGATGCCGATATGTTTTGGGTCTGTCCACATACCCTCATGTTAGAATCTACTAACCGGGACGTTAGGACTATCTGAGCCAGAATCCAGAAAGCATCGCGCAAGTGATGGTATATTCCTCATCGCTCGTCCGTTCTTCTTCATAGCTTCTGCAGATCCTCTTTTCAGACCGTGGTACTCCAGATGCTTTTCGGATGCATGTGAGTTTACAACAATAAATCAACACCATGCTGAGATGACGCCAGAGCTACTCTGGACATACCTACAAATGGCTCAAGCGGGATGGCTCGTTCGTTTACATCCAGCTCCATGTCCTCGCGCATGGTGGCTTCCGTACTCTCAGCGTCGCTCAGGCGAACGAGCTGGCTGGTTCAAACCCCGACTACACCACCCAAACCCTCTTCGAAGCCATCGAATCGGGCGAGACGCCAACATGGGACGTGTTCGTGCAAACAATGACGCCAGCGCAGGCCGAGGCGTTCCGCTACAACATCCTCGACCTCACAAAAGTCTGGCCGCACAAGGAATTCCCTCTTCGCCCTGTAGGAAAGCTGGTACTCGACGAGAATCCCCAGAACTATTTTGCGGAAATAGAGCAGCTGGCCTTCAGCCCATCGCATGTCGTTCCTTACATCGAGCCATCGGCGGATCCAGTCCTTCAGTGAGTGGGAACGTTGTTGCAAACTCACCGGAATGACGATTTAATTAGGTCTCGTCTCTTTTCGTACCCGGATACGCACCGCCATCGACTCGGCGTCAACTACCAGCAGCTGCCCATCAACGCTCCCATCGCTCCGGTGGCCAACTTCCAACGCGACGGAGCTGCGACGTTCATCTCGCAGGGCTCCCGACCAAACTACCAAAGCTCGATCATGCCGCTCAAGTACCAAGAAGCCCCTGGCACGCTCGACAGTGGCGCTCGCGATTTTGAACGGGGTGCAAAACACGAAACGTTCCTGGGTGCAGCAGTCCGCGATCTGAGTGAAATAACTGAACGTATGGTTTCATTTTTCTTCAATCCGCTTCAAACGAACGCTAAACGGTTGTTCCAGTCGACTTTGAACAACCCCGCGTTATGTGGAGCAAAGTTTGGAGCGACGCTGAAAGAGAGACGTATGTGCAAAATGTTGCCGCGCACTTTGGGAACGTCAAGAGTGCCGAGATTCGAGCTCGTCAATGTATGTCCCTCTGTCGCAAATCCCGCAGCTCTATTGACCTTTATACGTAGTGGCGGTATGGGCGGCAGTAGACCAAGATCTTTCGGATCGTATCGCAAAGGCCGTCAACTCACCCACAGTGAAGCCGCTCAAGGTAAAACCTGCCTCGGAGGCGGTCCGCTTCCGAGCGAACGTTGGGCATACCACTGTACTGTAGAAAACCTGTAACACAATAGGCACATTTGTAAACACGAAAGACTTTGATTCAATTGTACAACCTGAGACTCTATGCGTCGCTGAAGAGAGGGAACCAGCGCTCATCGTGCATTAGCTTTATCGCATCGTCGACCAGGTTCATATCTAAGGACGTTTGGTTTCATACAGACGCGCGGGAGAACGATTACCGATCGTAGTGCCCAACGACATACATTGGAGCATTTTGACTGTGGTGGGATTGACGACGCTGCAAAGCACTTCGTAGTAAGAATCGGGTTGCATGTGGGTGTCCTGCGCCGGTAAGAAAAGTCGACAAGACCAATGGATGCTCGCTGACAGGCAAAAGGGTTATGGTGACTTGACTGCCATCCGAGGCAGCCACAGACGCGGTGGAACCATTGAACTGGGCGACGTGAGGACGAGTCTGGACGCAAAAGAGAGAACAACGCGCCTTGACGGGCTTGCAGGGCAGTCTAATGGTCTGGTTCTGATATCTTTTGAGCAAGGACGAATTGACGCGTCGAGACGAGTCGCTCATCGGAGCGTCACGGCCCGTGACACCCGTTTTCTCAACTCGACCGCAAGAAGATCAGAGACGCGGGGATTCCTATCGAGTGCGCCGGTCCTACGTTCTGAACAAATACATGGACTAACGCTCCTTCAGAGATGTCTCGGACATCACCAAAGCTCCCGAAATGCTTGGTGGTCGCGTCAAGACCCTTCACCCCGATGTGCATGGCGGAATCCTAGCTCGTTCAATTCCCTCTGACGAGCATGATCTCGCGTCCCAGGGCATCTCACCAATCTCTATCGTCCTTTGCAACCTCTACCTCTTCTCCTCGACCATTGCGCAGCCGAACTGCACCCTCGCAAACCCAGTCGAGGAAATCGACATCGGGGGTATTACTCTACTGCGTGCGGCAGCCAAGAACCATGCCCGCGTCTCAGTCGACTCCGATCCCTCAGACTATACCGAGTTCCTGGAAGCATGGAAAGCAACGAGTGGTGATGTTGGACATAATCTCCGGAGCAAGCTTGCTCTCAAAGCCTTTGAGATGACAGCCGAGTACGAAGATGTCATCAGTGGCTACTTCAGGGAGCAATACGCGTTCGCCGACCTTCCGAACGACAGACTAGCTGGTCCGTCCAACGGATCGCACTCCGCTACGGCGCAAATCCTCACCAAAAGCCCGCTCAGGCATATGTTACCAAGGGCGAACTCCCCTTCAAAGGCTAGTTGCTGTAACATCTGCCCTTCCCGATATCTCACCACATCGTAGCTCCCTGTAGCTCTCCGGGTTACATCAACCTACTTGACGCCCTCAACTCCTACGCGCTTGTTAGTGAGCTCCAGACGGCTCCGCCGCGTCATTCAAACACGTCTCGCCTGCTGGAGCCGCCGTAGGCATCGAACTCGACGAGACATAGAAAAAGGTCTATGGGGTGGACGACTTGAAGGAATCGCTTACTCCTCTCGCTTGCGCGTACCCAAGGGCACGAGGAGCAGACCGCATGTCGTCCTTTGGCGACTTTATCGGACTGTCCGCCCCCTGCGATCTGGCCACAGCAAAGATCATTTCTCGGGAGGTTTCCGACGAAAAATTGTGTTCTTCAAGTGCGTTACCCTGTTCTGTTACCCTGACCAGCCGCTCACGGTGTTTAATTTCATTCTGATTGATCTCAGCTACGTTCCTGATGCGGTTGAGAGGAAACAGGTGCGGGGCAGCAGTCGCGTATTCACTGCACGCGTCTTGCTGGCGGAAAGGCAGTCCTCTGGTGGTTGCGGCACCACCCTCGTGTGCTAGCACTTCCGTTCAAAAAGGGCGTCAAACGCGCGGAGAAGGCCAATGCTATCGATCTATTCGTTGGCATCTTGCCGCCCAAGTGGGAGTGTTATGGATGCCGAGTGCGTCAAGGCAGCGGACGAACATGGCATCGATATCGTTTTTGCCCACACGTCGCTCCGGTTGTTCCACCACTAGACTTTAAATATGTACCGATAGCCTGAGGGAAAACCAAGTAACTACCTGCACCGTGACAGCAGGCGTGATAAGCACAACTCCTTCACCCACGATCCTAACCGTGGGCTGACCTCTCCTGGAGATTTGCGAGCGAGAGGATCGTCCAGAATCGCCAGAGAATTGACTTGCGTCTCGGATTTGCCAGTCCGCATGGTATCGGATCACTGGTAGGCGAAGCTGTTGAGCGTCGTGCGCATGCTGCAACAGCTGTTTACAGTTATCTCGGGCGTAAACCGCCGCTCTCCGTTTCCAGGCTGTACAGGGCGGACAAGTTAAATAGCGCGACCCCACGTCGCACATAATAACAAAAAAAAAACTATGACTGCCAGGTGAGTGCCATTTGCCGACACGTAAAATTCACCGCGAAACATCTCTAGTTGGGGTTTGAAAACTGGCGGCGATACACTCGTTCTACCTATCTACATTGCTGGTGGCTCTTTTGTGTCACTCCTGTTGAATCTTGTATGGGCCTCCACTGCCGTCGTCAAGCTACGCGCGTCCTACTTCAAGGTTTCTCGCGAACAGGTGGCAGAGGCCGAGTCGCACTTTGGTGGATCCATCACCAATCACGCTGAAAGACACGGCGGCGGCGCAATATTCCTGTTCAAACTCGCGCGTCTGGTCGGCTGTCTGCTTCTCCTTGCCTTTTCGAGT